AGGGCTGGTGTGCGGTTGTTATTACTATTTTTCAGCCTTATGTTTTGGCAGACTCTGGCTGCAGTGTTGAGACAGATGGTGTGGGCAAAGCGGAAGTGGTGGCCAGGTCGGAAATGCACAGGCACCACCTCAGCCTGGCTCCTTGGGGGCTCTCTCTCGAGGGGCCTGAGAGGGAGGCTGCCTCCTGCTTCTGAGGGAGGCTGGAGAGAACCCTGCCTGACTCACCCCAGCCTGATAGCCCCTCAGACCAGACATATTTGACCCTAAGGGACTTTGGGACACCTCTGAGAGGGTCACAGGCAGCTTTGTGGGGCCTCACAAGTGGCTCTGCTCCCAGCCACTTGGGAACTTTACATGCCTCAAGACCACGGGGAACCTCAGGAGTCAGTGTCAGTGTCACAGCTCCAGCCAAGGAGTCCCACAGCAGCCCAGGCCTCTGTGACAGAACGTACCTTCTGTTTGCAGTTAGCAGGGGCATGTGTGCACTGCCTGGAGGGACAGCAAAGGCTAATTACATTGATTTTCCTGCTCCACGTTTCAGAGGCTTCTGAGGAATAAATTCATGAACAGTTGTCATGGAAAGATTCCGGGCCCTGAGCAGGCGACAGAGGTGATGTGCTGGCCCCCAAGAGAAGGGCCAGCTGCCCACCCCAACCTTGGACATGATAATGTGTCTTTGGGGTGCTTCTGGCTAGGGCCAGAGTCTGGGGGGCCCAGGGTAGATGTGGCATAGGCACCATCAGAGCTTGAGGGAGCTGGATGGCTCTAGAGAGACCTGCCAGATTCTAGCAAGGCCACAGTCTGAGCCCAGCCAGGGCAGCACATAGAGTAGACTAGCTGGGGTGGGCAGAAGCCAGGTCTGCGACTGAGCGAACAGGCAGCTTAACATGTGGCCCAGGACTCAGGGACACTGGTCCTGAAGCCAAGATGGACTTTCACGCCTAGTCCAGGTGCCCAGCTGGAAAGGCGCTGGTGTCAGTATGTGTGGCTGAGTGACACCGTCCTGGCTGCTGCAGGCCAGGCCTCTATCTACAGGGTACCCACAAAACATGCCGAAGTGCCACTTTCGGAAACCCGCGCTTGTGCGTGAAACAGAAGTGAAGAGCTCAGACTGGGAAGCGGCAGAACACATCACTTCCTCTCCTGCTGAGGTCCCTGTCCCTGCACGCAGAGTTCTCGTAGATGAGAGAACGGGTGCGTGAGGGCTCCTGCCACAGGCTGTGCTCCAGGCAGATGGGCCCTGGGTGCCCTCACCTAAAGAGAAAACACTCCCTGGCCCTGCTCTATTAATAGGTTCTTGGGAGAGTTTCCGCATGGCAGTCCTGGCAGGAGGGGCTGGCACTTAACACTTCCTAATGGCTTTGCCACAGGTGTCTGGGCGGGCTCCAGCCTCATCCTGAGCATGGTCACGAGGGCCCACATCCTGGGCCTTCACGGGGAGGCAGGCAGTATAAGGCGTCTAGAGATATCTCTTCAAAGTGGCCAAGAAGTGAGGCCACAGTGCCAGGGTACACTGCTATGGTGGGCTCACAGGAAGTGCAGCAATGCCCAGGTGCCAGGGTCAACCCTGGCCACCACTGCTGCCTCAGCACGGTTCTCTCCTCAGGAGCCTAGGCCAGGCTGGACAGGGAGGAGTGGGTGTGGGGGGCACCTGGCAAGGACAGAACCCTGTGTCTCTTGGTCCTCTGTAAATGGCCATACACCAATCAAAGTGGGAGTCATCGGGGCCCATTTCAAGCGAGACATTTAGGAAGATGAGGTTAATGATGGAGCTGGGACATGAGAGTGACTCACCATGCTCTTGCTTGCTCAGCGGGCTGGGTTTCCGGGATTCCAGGCCATGACAAGCACCCACCCTGAAGCTGCGTTGACTGGAGTGCTGGGGCCTTAGTGAAGTAGACTAATCTCTTCAGTGTGGAGGGGCCCACTTCTTCCTTGACACTAAGGGTGCCTACAGTGGGGAGGGGGTGAGATTAGGAGACAGTGGGGGTCCTCAAGCAGCATATATACTAAAACTGGAACAATTCAGAGATCAGTATGGCCCCTTCAAAAGGATGGCACACAAATCTGTGAGGTGTCGCATATTACAGAGAGAAAGGGAGGGAGGCAGGAAGGGAGAGATATTAGGAGACAACTGTACTGGCCAGTGAGAATTTGAGCTAGAAGACCCTAGGACCATGAGCCCCCTGTGCCCACTAACACAAGGTGCTGAGTCCCAGGGAAGGGCCTGGCTGTGGGGTGACGGACAGGCACACACTGACAACACTCACTTGAGGGCCCAGGGAGACAGGTTCTACCTTACAAAGAGGAACCTGAAACAGGGACCTCTCTAGAGTTTTGGAGCTGGGATGGGTGGGGAAAAGCCAAACTCTGGGTGACAGGCCCAGCTCCCTGACATTCTGCCCTTGTCCCCATCACCCTACCACAACTCACAGAGCCACGGCGAGCAGATCACAGGACAGAGGCCCAGGACTGTGCCAGACAGGAGCATGGCAGTGTTCCCAGGGCTGGCCGGCTTGTGCTGCCCATTTGAGAACAGTCCACAGGCCTTGGGACCCCTAGATTCAGCCTGACTGGCGCTTCTGGGGTGTGGTGGTGCAGAAAGGAGGGGTCTGCTGCAGGTGGGGGTGGGCTCCAAAGCCTCTTCCTGGGGGGCTGCCTGGCTCAGTGGCCCAAGCACACCAGGCCTGCCTCCCTCAGCTTCTCCAGCAGGAAGTGTGGGTTCATTCCTGGACCCCCAAAGAATCTGATAATGGGCCAAAGGGAGTGGTACTTTGCTTTCTTTCGTGTGGGAAGATGAGGACATTAAGTGGGGTGGGGGGACTGACAACTGCTGCTGGGGTCCTCACCCCCATCTTGCTAACAGGAGGAAAGACAAAGACAGCTCTACACACAGAACTGCAACTTGGTTTTCTGGGAGCTGTTACCAAAATCCAAAATTAGGAGAGATGAGGGCTGAGCTGAGATTTCTGCATTTCCAGAAGGCTTCTTTTGTGCTTGGCAGCAAGAGTGGGAGTTGGTAATAGCCCAGCCCCAGGAAAGCCTCGGACAGGGCTACAGGGAGTGGCACGTGGGAGATGCCACAAGGAAGGCCTTGTCATGTGGCCCCCACCCTCACCCAGCTACTTTGAGCCCACCTAAGCCCCATACTTGCCCCCACACCCAGTCGTACCTGCTCACCATCCCAGGTGTTTGTTCAGTTCAGGGTCCTGCTGCGTCTTCGTACGGTGGGGGAATGGAAGTGGCTATACAGGGCCCACAACTCAGAGCTCCTTAAGACTCCCTGCCCCCGCCCCCAGGTATGACCTTGGACCCCAGATTCTCCGAACAGTGAGGTTCCAGCTTGGATCTGACATTAATTTTGGGAAGAACTTAGCCCCAAACTAGGGCCTTGGCCGCACCACAGCTTTGCCCTGGGAATGGAGGAGGCAGAGGTAGGGCCCTATTTAAAAGACAAGCACTCCATTCCATTCCCAAACTGAGAGATGTAGCTCAGTGGTATAGCACTTGCTTATCACACACCTTAGGCTCTCCAAATTCCAGGTCCAGTTCCTGGCTCCATCACGGCTATATTTGAGCATAAACATGCAGAAATGCCTCAGGGGGCCTCTGTCCACAGCTAGCCCTTCTAGGCAGCCTGCATAGCTCTGTGCACAAGGACCTAGCCAAGCTTGGCCACAGCTGTGGCTTGGCTCCACTGGGAGCCCACAGTGGGCTGTGCTGTTGCCATCCTACCAGAAAGAGCGTGTGTGGGGAGTGCTCCTCCGGCAGACATCTGACCACAGTGAGACTTCCATCAACAGTAACCCACCATGGCAAGGCCACATCGTGCCCAGATCATCCCCCAAAATTCATTTTTTCTAAACTTGATCGTGGTATAAACTGGAGACAGAGATAATAGCAACCCTGGTCTGGCCTATGAGCAAGAACTATCTGGGCAAGCCTTGGTGACCCTGCTTGGGTTCTGCTGTCCTTGGCCATGGACCACTGACTATGGAGATGAATTTCCTCTGGGTTGGTTGTTCACATCAAGTCCCATCACCCAGCAGGTCCAAGTCCAGGTCTTGAAGCCAGATCAGGTGGCCTAGGGCAGATCACAGGGAGATCTGGCATAGGCGGGATAACAAGGCTGGTCCCACAAGCTGAGCAGGCTGAACCCTGGTGCCCTGGCTCTCCTGAGGTCTGTAGGGATGGGGAGCACATCACCTCCAAGACAGCTGAAAGCCTAACCTGCCAGTTCAGACAACCGGGCCTGCCAGGCTCTTCCATGCACCTGCAGGTTCTTTCCCGCTCACAGCTCAAGGGCATTGTCACTGACAGCGCCTCTGTAGTCCTAGGGGACTGGTGGGGTCCGAGTGATGGACTGCCTTTGAGCATGTGCTCTGCACTGGCCAGGGTGTAGCTCACCTTGAAGCCCCAGAATTTGGCTCTCCTTGCCAGTGCAGGCAGACTTCTCCATCCTAGCTGTTCATCAGAACTCAATATAGGCTGCCCCCTTGTCATCCCAAGTTCCAAAGCTTTCAGGCGCAGCTACCCCTGGAAGCTGCAGAGGCTGGGGTCCCCTAACCACATGGTACCAACAACTCCCAGAAGAGGCAGGAGGGAGGGGCAGGTGTAGAGGAGAAGGGTCTCCATGCTGGCAAAGCCCCAAAACGCCTGCAGCTGAAGGCATAAGGGATACGCAGACAAGGAAAACAGTCTCTGACAGATGTGGCAGAAGGAGCCACAGGACCCTCGAGAGCAAAGGGAAACACGGGTGCCTGAGGTTGCTTGGGCTGCTGGCTCTCAGAAGCAGCCCGGGGAGCAGTCTGACGGGGGCGGGTGTGTGGAAGCTCTAGCTTCCCTGCTCCCCCAACGCCGTCAACAGCTATAAACAAGAGTGTCCTGGGCCTGAGTGCAGGAGCCCTCCCAAGTTGCCATTTTCATTTTCCGTTTATGGCTCTGGGGTTGGGGGTGGACTGCTTAGGTCGTATCCAGAACAAGCCATTCCTGCAACAAGATCTATAAAGTCAGTTTTAATTTTCACATTCCTTTGCTCTCACACATGCAGACAGGAGGAAGTCACCAACCCCCAGTGAACATATGTGGAACAGGAATCAAGGCCACTGCCCACTCTACAGAGCTTGTTTATTCCTGGACAAACCTGACTCAGATGAGCGTTTGTCAGATGTAGAGAGAACTCCTGGTCTATCCAACCAAAGAGCAGTCAAGTTCCAAGCCACACTAGGAGCAAAGCCTGAGACGTGGCTGAAAGGCAAGGCGAGTGAAAGGCAAGGCTCTCCAGAGAGAGGCCTGCAGTCTTAGGTCTTTGCAGCAGACTCTTCATGTAGCTCTTTTACGCCAAACTAAGCGCAGTCCTGCTAGTCGGGCCCAGCACCCCTTCTGTGTGGACCCCGGCCTGGAGGCTGCTGCTGCAAGTGGAGGGGCTCCTCGCGCAAACAGCAAGGTGGAGGGCACAAGCCCTTAATCCCTGGGGTTCAGTACGGATATGATTCCCTCAGAGCTGAATTCCTTTATTTCCCCAAGTCCCATAGTACAAATCCCTGGCCTGCCGCCCCCCAAATCACCCGAGCTCCTGATTCTTGCTCCCCTGATCATGATGTCGCTCTCTGCATGATTAGCTGCTGGTTCTCCAGACACTGCTTCAGCTTGTCTTCTGTTAGTGTCAACCGCTGTTCCAGGATGGACACTGTCTGTAAAATAAATGGTCAGGCTCAGGACAGAGAGGCCACCCAGCTGCCCTGAGGATCCCCCTGGCCAGTCCCCACTCGGGTGGTGCAGCCTGGCACTGAGATGCCAGGTGCTGGCTCTTCCGGATAAGGGGCTCTGCCTGGTGGTTGCCAATGAAAGCCCTTGTCTTCATGCCCACTGCTCCTGTTTCTGGGTCCTGGATCCCTAGTGTTTGTGGGCAGGGGAGGAGACAGTGAGGGAGAGCAGACAGCAAGCCTCAGAGCTCTTGACACCTTAGGCAGCCATGGGTCGGGCATCCCCAGCCCCAGTAGCCTGCCACTAGGCTGGAGTTCAACCAGCTTCATGTGGGCCAGGCTCTGTTCTTAAACAACTAGAGACCATCAGCCCCATTCCAGAGGCAAGGGACAGTAACAGATAAAGGCACTCCGTCTGGGTCCTGCTTGCAGCTGTGGCCCTCCTCCTCTACCCACCAGGGTCCTCTGAGTCCAGGCGGCTCTCTGCCTGTGTGAGTCCAATAGGATCACTGTAGGAGTATGTCGTCTGAGCTCAGGCCCACGACAGTCACAGGCAAGTGACAACACTGAATCTCGGCCGTTTTTTCCTCCTAAGCAGGACAGGGAACCTGAAGCTCAGAGCACAGGTAACACTGTGGTGCCAGCACCTGGCGAGCTGGATCCACATTGGCCGCTCTGCCCAGGGACGGCGTCAGCATGCTGCCTCCCTGAGCTGAGCCCTTGCTAGCCAGGCCAGGGCCAGCCTTAGAGACGCAACTTCCCCGCAGGTTCTGCGCAGTGTCAGCAAAGAGCGACACTGTTCACCCCTGTGGAGGGCTAGCTCAGCAAAGGCCTGCAGGGCCACCTGGCCCCTCGCTCAGGTTGGCCCAGGCTGGCCTGACGGCTTTGCTTCCTCTTCCCCATCCTCACTGTGGGCTGCTGAAGGAAGCCACGTGCACAAGGCCCCCGTGAAGACGGAGGGCTGGATCTCTCCATTGTGCGGCTTGCAGGCACTAGGAGGGGAGGAAGGCGAACCCATGAGGTTTTGTTCCCTTCCCAGAGGTCCAGGCAGGCTCTGGGCCTTGGTCCAGGGGAAAGGAAACTTCCCTTGCATACACTTAATGCAACATTGAAACATTTGGGGAGGGTTTTCCCTTGAAGGCTGCTATAAACTTCGGCAGCATCCTGCACAGATGTCAGCTCCCATGGAGGGTACAGAGTCTGGCAGCTACCTCCTCTCACAAAATAACCAGGGACAGCAGCCTCTGAACCAGGGTCACAGGACACAGTCTGGAAAATGATTGCCCTGGCACATGAACTGCACCTGAGTGGCAGAGCTGAGCTGAAAGAGACCGCCCTATCCCCAGTGCTGGCCAGGGAAAGGTCTGCATCTCGTAAAAATGGTAGCGGAAAGAGCCTTCAGCTGGCCCGAGCAGCATTCCTGGAAGTTTCCACTGGCTGCTGAGAAACTCACACAACCCAAACTACTTTACCCAGCCTCCTGCCGAACACAGCCTGGACTCAAGGCCTCCGTGGGGGAGCGCAGCCGGCTGCATTTCCTATTCTGCCTGTTGTCTCACAGGATCCCAACTTCAAACACGGAGACAGTGGGCCAAGGAAGTGGGCAGGCGAAGTGCTGGGCCTACAGCCGCACCGGCAACCTCAACAGAGCCCCACGGGGCCCACGCTGCAGCTCAGCAGGGAGGTGACCACTCAGTGTTGGTCCTGATGCCTTCCAACAGAACTACTTCACAGCTAGTTCCAAATGGAGGATGCCAGCCCTGCCGTGGTGCTTCCTTTCTGAGCTTCAAGGGGTATACCTCTTAGTACATTAGAGACAGACTTAAAAGCCCTCCACCCCTCAGACCCACACCTCCTCTCCTGGTTAAGCGTCTAAGGAGTCACACCATCCTTGTGTTTAGTCTCTACTTTTTTTATCCTTTCTGCCTTCAAGCCTACTCAGCCAAGGTGGGGCAGCGGCCACAAGCAGGGCTAAGGCTACTGAACACTTCCCAGCCACATCTGACCCTACCCAACCCTCTGCTGAGCATGGAGGATGGGCTGAAAGAGAAAGGTGCTTGCTGGACTTCTGTGTATCAGAACGCTGTTTGACGTTCTCTCCTTCACATATTTTTAATAATTCTACTCCAGTAGGGTCCCATCTCTCTCTCTCTCTCTCTCTCACACACACACACACACAAACACACACACCCTGATAAAGTTGAAATTAGAAATCCTGCTCTTAGCTTGGTATGGTGGTGCATGCCTGTAATCCCAGCAGGTTGAGGCAGCAGGATTGCTGCAGGTTCAAGGCCAGCCTGGCTATACAGTGAGTCCAAGCCAGCCTAAAACATCTAGTGAGAGTATCTCTCAAAAACCCAGAAGGAAAAAAAAAAAGCCAATATAGAAATCCTCTTCTTACGTGCTTTCCCTCTACATGGGACAGAACGGCCCCCATCAGGGGTACGTGAGTAGCATCATGCCTGGGGCAATGCTGGCAGGCCAGGTGCAGGGGTGGCCAGGGTAGGCCACCACAGCACAGCCCTGCTTCCCCAGCTGTGTGTGAAGAAGGGGAGAAGAGCACCTGGGGTGGCACGGAGCACGTACAGGGGCATCCCTAGCAAAGACTAGTTTTGGGCCACATCATGCACGTTTGTTGATGACGTAGTTGACCTTTATCTGTTGTTCTGAAGGAGTGGAAGGTGAACACAGGCCCACACCAGTGTCAGCAAAGCTCTGTGAATACATGCTGCTGCCTCAGTGTCCACACAAGGACCTTAGGCTGCACCCCGGATCCACCCCAGCCAGGCCTAGCCACACAAGCCGCTCACGTGGCCTCCCACTCTGGGTCAGGTCCAGGGAATTCTCCTGCCACACTGGGCCTGGAGGGTGAGGAGTCCTTTAAAGGTAAACACTTCTGTGGCCTTTCAGGGTCCAGACTCCAAGATCCAGCAGTATAGCTCTCTTTTATTCAAGGGCAAAGAAAAGCTGACATTTGACCACACTGCTCCTCTGACTCCAGTCCCTCAGAAGGTGCTCAAGGAAGGGCAGGCGGGCGCGGGTGCGAAGAGGGAAAGCATCTTCCTGACACGGGTCACCCGTGCGCCTCTGGCTTTCCGGCACCTGTCTGGGCAAGGAGGCCACCCCTGGGACGCCTTTCTTTAGGGGTCCAGATTCTTCCACAGCGAAGTCCCTCCTGTCAACCCTGTAGGAATCAGGCAACTCACTCCATCTGCCTGGCCCTTGTGCTGCCCTGGTAGCTGATTCCTAAATTCTAACTGGGGTGTGGTGCCAGACTCAAGGGAGGCTAGCGAGAAGTCCCAGGTCTGGGTTTTGGGGAGTCCTGACACTGCTCCCTGAGCTTCTCTTAGCAGCTGACATGCAGCGCTCACAAGGTCACGAAGTGCCCTCAGCACACCCAGCACTTTTCAATAACCCTTTTGAGTAGCCTGGCTTTGAGTCCATGCTAAAGTCCAGGTGTCGTGCACCTTAGTTAGCTTTGCCTCCATCGAGCCTGCTAAGGAGAGGCCTGGTTTCTGCCTCCCTCGCCTCACCTCTGGCTTTATCAGTGCTGCTGGTTCTGAGGCCTCAGAATACCTGCTCATCCCTCACCACACAACTTTCACCTCTGATACCCAACGCAAGCAGCTGAGGAGAAAATCTTGCATCCTGGTCCTCAACAGCAGGGGCTACCTTGTGTCCTTTTTGAGCCATCCAGTCTAGCCACTCCTGGTTACACGAGTAAAGGCTTCTTGCAGTGGAACAGACAGCCTCAGGATCACCTAGCAGCCCCTCATGCCATTAGCAACACTCTAAGGCTGTTCCAGGCCTCAGGCATCCTTTACCGTGAAAAGCAGTCTCTTCCTTGCCTAAATATGTACATTTGGAACTATCACTAAAGAATTACTCATTTGAGCCACGAAAAGGCAAAAGAAGGACAAAAAGGACATACTAACAAGATCCTCTTACTAGACATGCAATAAGGAACGACCCTGATACCTTCCCTTCCTTCACCAGGGCACTCAAGCTCCCACACACGCCTTGGTCACTGCTGGGTGCCCACCCCTCAAAGACTGGGCTGAATCAGGGTGACAGGAAGTCAGAAGGGGTCACTGTCATCTCTCACCTAAGTCATAGCCCTTGAGACCAGAGTGATGCAGCCTCATGGGAAGATGTCATTAGAGTTCCAGAGGTTTTGTCATTAAGGTCACACCTGTCAGGGGTCACCTTCTGCTCTTGTTATCAGCAATTTCCAGGTGGTCACACCCTTTTTCTGGAATACTCTGGCCTCTGAAACACTTCTTTGTGCTACTGGTTGCATTCTGCTGTTTCTCTGTGAAGGGGCGGCAAACTACTGCCTGACGCCCATTTCTGTAAAGGGTTGCTGCCTGGTGTTGGCTTCTGTACCGTCTACAGCTGCTACCTGGTCACTATGGCAGACTCGAGCAGTTCTGAGATACTCTGGGGCCCACAGAACCTATACTATCCATATGTAAGAAGAAGTTTGCCAACCTGGCCCTAGACACTCTCTTCCCTCACTCAAAACCTCAATGGGAACCTCCTCCTGCTGGCCAGTGTCCAGCCAAGGTGTCAGTGGACTTGCATGGTGCAGTGGTTCCAGGTAGCATACGTTGGACAATTACATAGACCTGGGGCTGTGTTGGGAGACTGGGCAGGGCTGGCCTCAAGTGGCCCTGAGGAGGTAAGGAACGAGCTCCTCAGGCAAGAGACAGGCTGAGCACTGGGGACAAAGGAACAGTGCGCACAGAGGCAGGAGGGAGAGTGCCCAGCAGGAGGAGTGAGCCAAAGGTGGCTACGTGTGAGAGCAAGGGAAGAGGGCCTCGCTGGGGAGGGCGGAGAGGGAGCCAGGTCCTGCAAGCCATGCTGGCAGCATCCTCAGCCTCCCTGGGACACGTCAGGAGGGGCACAGACCCCTCTGGCTGCTCCACGGGTATGCTCCACGGGGCTGCATGGCTGTAGGAAGGCCAGGTGGACACAAGCATGAGAGG